ACTTTTTTTCTATCTCAGACAGACGTTTTCTTCCTTAGTTGTTGGTTTTTTGTTGTTGTGGTTGTGTTTTTTTATTTCATTGATTGCCCCTAAAATTTCACCCAATATCCAAACCCTTCACACATGGTGGGCTCAAATCCCACTTCCAAGCCATCCCCAGCTCCTCACTATTAGTACTTCCCTTGAAACAACCTTTAAGGAGAATTAAATCATTTTAGTATCTTTGTAACTAGCCTCAACTTTTACCATTTTGAGTATTCTTTCTTTGTATACATCCAGATTTGGGGTTTTGATTATCATTTTCTTTGTGCATGAAAAGATTTCATGTAGCAATTATCATAGTTAAGGTCCAATGCTGATTAATTCTTGCAGCCTTTGGCTGTCTGAAAACATCTGTAATTTGCCTTCATCTTGGATAAAAAATTCTCACTGCCATTTTTCTTCTAGTTGTGTGATACTGATTGTTTAAGTTCCCTGCCTTCCTGGTAGCATTGTCCCTGTGTACAATACTCTTGTCTCCTTAGCTGAGTTTGTTTTTTACTAATTTTATTATTTTCTCTGAGTGCTTTTAAGATTTCTCTTTTTCACCAGTCCTATTAGTTTTAGGATAGTGTGTCTTTTCATGGATTTTTTAAAAAATATTTCTTAAAATTTATATTTATTGACATTGTCTAATATGGAAACATTTGGACCTTGATTTCTTCAAGTTTTTTTATTCCTTTTTAATTTTGTTTACTTATTCCTGGGTGACATGGCACATATGTGATGTTTAGAAAACAATTTGTGGAAGTTGGTTTCTTCCTTCTACCACATGTGTCCCCAGGGATCAAATTCATCTTCAGGCTTAACAGCAAGCAACTTTATCTGCTGAGCCATCTCTCTGACCCCTTTTTTACATATTGTATCTACTCCACCCTTCTCGACACTGAATACGTGTATATTAGATGGTTTGAAAGTATCCCATAGTTCACGAATGCTCTGTTGATTTTTCCATTTCTTTTTATTTCTATATCTTGTTGGTAGTCTTCAGTTTCACTGTTTATCCTGCATTATCATTGAGTGAATTTTTCATCTCCAGAATTTTAATTTCAGTCACATTTGTATCTCCCTTGTCACTACTTAATGTGTTTTCCTCTTCATCTTTTTGAGCTTGTGGAATACATTGTAAAATACTGTTTTAATTTCCTACCTACTAATTCTATCATCTACACCATTTGGAGAATAATGTCAACTTGGTGGCTTATTTCTGATTATGAGTCATATATAGTCCTGCTTCATGGCATGCCTGGAACCCCTTAGATGCCATAGCTGGTGAATTTTACTTCATTGGGGATTGGGATTGCTGTTATGTCTCTACATAATATTGAGCACTGATCCAGGACATAGTTCCATCTCCAAGAGTTTGATCTTTTGTGTCTTACTGTAAACTTTGGTGGGGAAGACTAGGGTGGTGTGTGGCCTATGTTTGACTTGCCCAGTAGTGAGGCAAAAGTTTTCTGAGTTCTGAGTACCCAGTGAGATATGGAGTACAAGGTCTTCGAGAACTGCAGCACTATTCCCAGCCCGCCTCCTGCACTCTAAGCCTGACTTCCTCTATCTCTGGGTGGTTCCATCCCTGACCTCATCTCGTCTCCTCCCACCAGTGCACTACAATCAATCAAATGAACCTCTCAGAGAAACCTCTGAAGGTTTCAAGTCTCCATTCTGTGTAGCTCTTCTTTCTAGCCTAAAACTGTCCTCTCAGCATGAATGAAGCTAGGGACAAATGGGCCTCAAAGTATTTGTTTTCTGTCACTTGGGAATCATTGCCCTTCAGTACTGATGCCCAATATCTGGGTACTGTTGTTGTTTTGTTTTTATAGATATTAAGCTTTTTGTTTGCTTCTGTGGGGAGAGTAAACTGGGCTGCTGTCATTCTGTCTTGACCAGAAATAGAAATCTGAATATTATTTTGAAAACAAATCTAAGGGGAAAGTTTTTGTATATGAGAAGCAGACAGTGATTGTGTGCTAGTAACAAACTCCCCAAAAAGCTAAAACAGGGTTTTAAAGAGTCAAGAAAATAAGCCTGTTGTCGGGGTACATGCTGATAAACTCCATGCTCCAGAGGTGGAGGCAGGAGGAGCCAGAGACCAAAGTTAGCCTTCATTACATAGTAAATTAAAGGCAACCCTGGGCATGGGATCCTCACAAAACAACAAATAAATAAATGAGGCCATAAAAATGTCTGCTTTATTCCTAAGAAACAATTGGCAAACTAGATTTTCATCTAAATGTCTAAACATATTCCCCATCTTTGTTCTCAGAACAACTCCCTCCAGTCTTCAACAAGCATCCTGCATTTTCCAGCATCATTCACACCCCACACTTAACAAGAGACTGAGATTGTAATACTCCAGCTATTGCTACTGTTGGAGTCCATGTCATAGTGGGTGCCTTGGCAACAAAGAATAGATGCATATGGCCAAGATGTGTGCATCCTAACAAAAAACCATAAGGTGTCGAGTGTAGCTAATAAGAGGGTGGAGATTTGAAGCAAACACCTGAGAAACCAAATATGGAAATCCTTTCTTCCTACAACTTCCATTAATAACTTACAGCTATGGCCTGTGGGTTGACTTTGAGTGAAACTGAAATGGGTGAGATTAGAAGTTCTGTCTTTCCAAATGTTCCCCCGTACCACCCACATGAAGTTTCTTTCATAAGTCAGCTTGAAGTCAGGCCTTAGCCTATTATATCACATAAAAGCATTTTATACGTATTATTATGCACTTGAGCAAAAACTGAATTACTGTTCACTGAGCTTATTTAAGTCTCCGGTGAAAGAAAGTAATAAGGAGAGCAGAAGGATGTGAAGGATGTGTAGTTTTGTGAGGAAGGAGCTTGAGTGACTTTTGAGCTACAGGCAAGAAAAGTTTTTTTTTTTTTTTAAAAAGCCATATGATGGTGAATATTGTTAGTTTGACACTATCTAGAAACACACAGAAGATGAACCTTGGCAGCTGGAGAGATGGCTCAGTGATTAAGAACACTGACTGCTCTTCCAGAAGACCCGGGCTCAATTCCCAGCATATCTCACAACTGTCTGTAACTCCAGTTCCAGGGGACCCCACACCCATGGCAAAACACCAACGCACATAAAATAAAAAATAAATGATTAAATAAAAGAAGTTGACGAACCTCTTGGCATGTCTGAGAGGGAGTTTCTAAATTGGGCTAAGTGAGATGGGAAGACATCGTAAATGTGGGTGACATTGTACCATGGCCTAGAGTCCTGAAGTAATAATTCAGCCTCACTCAGGTTCTTTGGACACAGGCAGAATACAGTCAATTCTTTGCTTGCTGTTCTTAAGGAATATCCTCAGGCAGCAATTTAGGCCTAAATGATTCCTAGTCTAAGCCTTCAATTCTTCTCTATAAGCTCATATTGCTACTGACATTTATACAGTGTTTGAAGATTTGTCTGTGTGTCTCATGCCATAAGACAAAATATAACTTGTACAGTAGAAGGAAAGGCAGCGAACCAAGAAAGTGAGACAGAGCAGACAGAACTCTCCTTGGAACACATTCTAGAACACTAGACTGTAGAACTGTGTTCAAGTGATAACAAGTTCACAAAAGGCAAGTGACTATGTCATGAATGCCACAGCTGAGGAAAGCCAGAGTGATTCTGTGCACCTCCCAGGGCTGGCTGAGGAGCCCCTCGCTGCAGACAGAGGCTGAAACCAAACATCACAATCATATTCCTCAGTCAGTTCTCGGAGCTTACAGATCCGAGGTTTTCCTGTTCCGAAAAAAAGGAAAGTTCTATTGTGTGTGTTACACAAAGAACATCAAAGACTTTTCATAATTTCTCATGGTGTCTATAAAATCCATTAATAAAAACAAAATGATGCCACCTACTCAAATTAACCTTTAGTGAACAGAGAGAAGAAAGTACTTGAATGCCAACAAGCTAACTGCTTATGTACATTTCACTATCAATAAAAGACTAAAAGGCACTATGGTCTGTAATCCCAAAAGACATGCGTCATGAACAAACACAAAACGCATGTATATTTGCTGGGCATTGGTGGCACATGCCTTTAATCCCAGCACTCTGGAGGCAGAGGAAGGTGGATCTCTGTGAGTTTGAGGCTACCCTGTTCCCCAGATCAAGTTCCAGGACAGCCATGGGCTCTGTAGCCATGGTTTTAATCAACTATAGGCTGAAAATGTTCCTGAAAATGTATGGCTTGGGGCTAGAGAGATGGCTTAATAGTTAAGAGTGTTTGCTGCTCTTCCAGAGGATGCAAGTGCAATGCCCAGCACACACATCCAATGGCTCACAACCACCAATACCTCCCACTCTGGGAGGATCAGATGTCTATGGCCACAATGGGTACAAACAGAGGTGCACACCCACATGCAAACAAACATACACACTCATAATTAAAAACAGTAAATTTAAAAAAAAAAAACTTTTTCTACTTTCTATACTTGAGCCACTTGCAGATGTATCCAAGTTTCACTTTATGGCATGTCTCTGTATTGAGGTTCCTCCCTGTACCAACACAATCACTGAGCAGCAGCAGCATTGATTTCATGGAGGCTTTAGTTTCAGAAAGGCACAAAGGCATGAGGCAAAAATCAGAAGAGTACCGTGAGCAGATGGGGGGCCTCCTCACAGGTCCCTTCAGATGGCATTTACAACACATTCCCTTGCCTTTTGTTCAGCCCAGTGGCTTATAAAGAAAACTTACTTACTCACCTATAGAGGGCAGTAGTGACATATGCACCCGGTGAGCAGTTCTACCTGGAATAAAAAGCTAAGATAAGTGGATAAGCCACTACTGATCCACAGGACGGATCAGCCTTTTGCTTTGCTTAGTGTAACTCTGCAGGAAGCAACCCAGCATATTCAGACATGGCCCAGCATTAGCAAACAGAAGAACAGAGGGGATCCACTAGTGTTGGTAAAACCAGATGACAAGATCCACATGCAGCATTTACTGGGAAAATATGCCCAGCCTTTCCCAAGAAAACCAAGAGTACCTCCAGGAGCATCTTCCCAGGCAGGCTACATGGGCACAGTTGCTGCCTCTGTTCAGAGCAGAGGAAGATTATAATCTCAGTATTCATCAAGTCACAGAAAATAAAGGGGACTCTCAGGCTGGGACTGGTGTCAAGGTAAGATGACCTTCACAATCCCCACCAATGTTGGCAGGGAAAAGGTTAATCCATAAAGAATATAAAACCAGCAGCCAGTTTCAGTATCGTTCTTCACAGTAGATTAGTGAAGATTTATCAAGACTATTTTTGAAACAATCTACAGGAAACCTAAAACTTGAAAATCATCTGGTGTCCAGTTTTCTCCATCCCAAACAGCTTTCCTTCGCCCTTGCTTTTTCGTTAAGTTTGTTCTGTTTAATGGTTTTGTGTGTTTATGCTTGAGACTGAAGCCATGGCCTCGGGCATGCCAAGCAGGGGCTCAACCACTGAGACACATAGCTGCAGCTTTGGCTGTTGGTTTGCTTTTAGGAAATAGTGTTTAAAAGCAGAAAGCCTATATTTAGCTTGTAAAGCTATTGCTATTAGCTCTTGCATATTTTTCTCTGACGTAAATACAATATGCCAGATAATTGTGAAAGAAAAATATAGGTTTCTTTCTAAAAACATTGCTACAGAATAATGATAAATTTCTATAGGGATCTGAATGCTAAAGAACTAAGAGTTGCTGTTTTTTAAATTCCTAAAGTGAATTTCCTGAAGTGTGAGTTTCTGCCATTTGGCCATTTTACTTTCTAGAGTGATAGTTCTCCTATTCAGTGTTGGATGTTTCTCTGCATAATGTACAGTGTAAGACA